GTCAAGGTTAGCATACAGTTACAAAGCATTGGGAAACCTAATTTTTCTTAAAATGTTTGATTTTATTTTACATTTCATACAATAGTTCCTAATCAAATTTAGACCCCTTCCTCCATTGATCCCACCCCCCAATCAGACTTCACACATTCTGTCATACATGATAAGTCCTATCCACTCAAGCATTTGTACCCAAATGTCCTTTGGTGCTAGTTCATCCACTGGACTCTAATCAGCCTAGCCAGAGATCATAAGGAAGGTCTACTCTCCCTCACCTAGTAGTAATCAGTCTCTAACAGTTCTCAGGCTAGGGTCAGCCCCCTTCCCATTTCCCTCACTCCACTCTGGGCTCTTTGATTGAGTTGGCATGGGTCTTGTGCTCAATGCCACCATTGCCACAAGTTCACATGTACGAGCTTCCAGTGAGCTGAAAGCCTCTGTTTACCTTATGTTTGTTTATCAACTCTGGCTCTTACAATCTTTCAGCCACCTCTTCCACAATGGTCCCTGAGTCGTGGGGGTGAGTTTTAATATAGGAGTCCTATCCAGGGACATGTACCCTGTGGTCTCTTATTCTCTAAACCTTGGCCAGTTGTGGCCTTCTGTGTACATCACACTCTGTTGTATGAGGAAGCTTCACTAAGGAGAGCTAAGGAAACTTGCTCTAATGAATTTACAACAATGGTGACAGCATGCACAAGACCCATGTGGACTCTTAATCAAACAAAAACCCAACATAGAACTTGGAAAATGGGTAGCCAGCCCCGAACCCTAGCCAGGAAACTATTGAGAATTGATTACTGCAGGGTGAGGGAGAATAGATCTTCTTTAAGGGGATTATTCTAAACAGGCTGACTAGACTCCAGTGGATGAACTTGCACTGAAGAGCATCCGTCTACAAATGCTTGACCAGGGTAGTACTTAACATACATGACAGAATACATGAAATCTAGTAGGGGGACTGTGGGGAGTACAGATGGGTAAGGAGTCTAAATTTGATTCAGATATATTATATCACATGCACAAAAACTCAGTAAAAATATTTTTTTTAAAAAGATGGATTTTGTTTCTTAATCCATTCAACTACCCTGTGTCTTTTGACTAAGGGGTTCGGGCCATTGATATTTAAAGTTATTATTGAAACGTGTATTGTTTACCATCATTTCAGTTTCTCTTTGCATTCTTGGTCTAATTATTTAGACCAAGATTTATAATTCCACAATTATCCCTCACGGAGCAGAGTGCCAGGGACTCGGCACCTGCTTCACGTTGCCAGTTTGTGCTGCTGCATGGAACACCAAGAAAGCAAATCCTTACGAAACCCTCTGTGCCAGGCAATTTCTAAGTGTTTTATAATTTGATTTCTATCAATCTTTAGACATACCCATAAGAGCATGCCTTTAGTATCCCCATCTTACAGACAGAGGAACTAAGGCAGAGAGTACACAAAGACAGAAAGTGCAGAGCAGAGCATTGCTTATGTTTAGTTGCAGCAGCACTTTGAAGCCAATCAGTGTGAATTCAAAGAGAAGGGTGTATGGTGAATGAAGAATGAAGAGGCCTTTAATCAGAAGACACAGCAGACTGCCAGGCCTGAAACCCAAGGGCAGGGAAGTTTTCTACAGGCTTTAACGCTGAAAGTCTAATGTCAATCTTCATAGCCCACCTGAGTCAGAACTCCTGAGTCCTTTCTGGTCCTGTGAGTTATGACCAGCCATGACAGGTCCGTATTCTCCTGTGACCTCATGAGCAGCGATTCTGAGTGCAGCTAGAGGTCATAATGCGGTGGGCGGAACTTGGATTTCTCTGGGTGTACTGAGAGGAGGAGAGGAGTGGCACCCTGTGCGATTTCCTGGGATCTAGTGTGTATCTGTGTAGTTCTTTGAGGTTGGGTGTTGATTTACATGTATACTTTTGTATTTGTGTTTGTGTTTGTGTGTGAGTGTGTATAGGGAGTGTGTGTTTTGTGCTTATATGTTTGTATCTGGACGTTCTCGTGTTTGAGTACAGAAGTCAGAAGTCAACTCGGCTGTTGTTCCTCAGGTAGGCCATTCACCTTATTGTTTCAGACACGGTCTCTCACTGGCCTGCCACTGGCCAAGTAGACCAGGCTAGCTGGCCAGGATCTGTCTGCGTGGACAGTCTGATATTAAAAGCACAGGTGGCTGGCCTGGGTCTTTTTACATGGGTTCTGTAGATGGAATTCAGCCTCAAGCTGCATGGCCAGCAAATTACCTGTCAAACTGTGTCCCCCTCCTGGGTGTTCAGTGTTTGATTTTCAGTGCTTCGGCTTTATTTCTGATTTCTTTGACTGGTTCTGCTTTTCAAGATTTCTTGGGATTTTGTTTTGAATTTCTTCTCCTTGGTTTTCATTCTTACTTCTTTCTTAGTATGTTTCTTTAAAACTTTCCTTTCTCACTTTTTTGGTTTTCTATTTATTTGCTGTCAGTAGTTGCTGAATGTACAATTTACACAGATTCGGCTTTGGTGCCACTTTTTGGTTTCTATTTTTTTTCTTCTTTTGGTTTAAGTTTCAGCTTTCTATGGTTTCTGTGTCTTATTTACTTCTGTTTGGAGTTTCTGTCTTCCTTTTTTTGCCCTGGAATGCTTGATTGCTCTCACTCCTTTCATTTCTTTGAGTCACTTTATATGTGACTCTTGTTTCTCTTTTTCAGGAAGCATCAGTTGCCAGCATTGGTGAGCTGTGAGCTTCCCACCTTACTGCTTTGTCAGCCAGATTTGGTTTGGATTTTCTGGGTCCTGTAAGTATATCCGGTTCTGGTTTTCTGGTTTTTTATTATTATTTTTTTTTGTGGTTAGTTCTTGGTTAGGTTTTAGTTTTCATTCTTGATTTAGCTTTTTCCCTCCCACTTTTTTTCATTATGTTCTTTGACTTTTCATTGTGTCTCAATATTTTATTTTACTTTTCAATTTTTATTTTTTTACTTTGCTTTATTTCTTCCTCCTTCTTTTTCAGGGAGCATTGGTAGTAATTACTACCAATTACTACCAATTACTACCAATTACTGCCATGTCTTCAGTGTGGGAGGAGGAGTTGGAAGAGCCCAGCCCGGTGCCCAGTGCCTTTAAAGAGAAAACCTTCCATTCTCAATATACAGTGTTGAGGACCCTCGGCCAAGGGAACCAGGCAAAGGTCCTGCTGGCCCAACACCGCCTGTCGGGCACCCTTGTGGCCGTGAAAGTGCTTCTGAAAGAGAAGCAGTGGTGCAAGCCCGTGTTCTCCGAAGTTGACATCATGATGATGACTGAACATCCAAACATCATCTCACTTCTACAAGTCATTGAGACTGAAAAGCGAACATACCTTGTTATGGAGCTGGTACGGGGGCAGGAGTTGTTTCAAGTCATCCAGGACACTGGTGGCCTGCTCGAGGAGGAGGCCCGGGAAATATTCAGACAAATAGTTAGTGCGGTGGGCTACTGCCACGACAATGGGATAGTGCATAGGGATCTGAAACCTGAAAATATAATGATAACTGAGGCTGGAACGGTCAAAGTACTTGACTTTGGGTTCAGCACCCAAGTGAAGCCAGGGCAAAAACTGAGACATCATTGTGGGTCTCACGCATATGCTGCCCCGGAGCTTTATCTCTTCGACAGTTATGATGGCCCCAAGGTCGACGTTTGGGCCTTGGGGGTGATCTTATACTGCATGGTAGTAGGTTGTCTTCCATTTGATGCAGACATTTTACACGAGCTTCAGTGGCAAATTGTCAGAGGGGAGTATTCCATCCCTTGTCACCTGTCAAAAGAGTGCCAGGACCTCCTCAGGCTCCTACTGACAGCCAATCCAAGACATAGACCCACACTGGACGAAGTCGGATCTCATCCCTGGCTTATGAAAGACCGAGAAGACTTACCAGATGACTGGGAAGAGATGGTCCCCAGACAGCCAGACCCAGCCATAGTGCAAGCCATGAAAGACCTTGGGTTTCACGCCAAAGATACCAAAAATTCCTTAATTAACAGAAAATTCAACGAGAGCATGGCAACTTACTGTCTCCTTCACAGTCAGGCTCGACAGGAGCATGGGCCCACAAGCCAGGCTCAGCCCATAAATCCAGGGGCCACACCGTTCCCCTCCCTTGAAGACCCTGCTACTTTCAACCTGGCACCAAGGAGGAGGGCAAGTGAGCCTATGTGCAAACAGCTGTGGTCATCCTCCGATGATGAGATGTCTGAGTGGGACCAACAGGCAGGTCAAAGAGGTGGCAGATGTGCAACTGGATCTGCCAATCCTCTTGGTGGCCCCGTGAGGAGGATGCCAATTGGGAGTCCAGCCCGCCAATGTGCCATAAGTGCTCCTTGCCTGTATTCAG